AAGAAAAGCAATTAAGGCTTGATTGATATGATCATATTGTCCTAAATGATTGCAGGATCATCTGGGACGATCAGTTCAAAAACCATAGTTATTCCTAGACGATCACATATCAAACAGCGTCTATTCATGGCGATGTTCTAGATAATTTTTACAAATTCGAACTAATTATTCAGGATGATTATGAGATCGGCCTGGACGATCAAGCTAATTTTTAATCATCTAGACATCCATTCAGAGCGATGGTCTGGTCAATATTCTGTGATTTGAACTAATCATACAGGATGATATTTAATCGTCCTGGACGATATAAACAAAAACCTTCTGATCATCCCAAATCGTCCTGACTGGTTGAGCATAATTTGCACTGATCGTACGTGACAATATTCATATCGTCCTGGATGATAAAGTTGGCATGTTACAATTAATGAGTTATTCTGAAGATCTTCTATTTAAGAGCACTTATTCTATCATTTAGACATCTGTTATTGTTGTCTTGACCTAAAAGAGCCTAGAGGAGAGGGACAGAGAGAGGATCTTATAATAGGGAGTTTATGAGGTGTTTTACAAGTGTTGCTCCAAGTAAGGATCCAAGTCTTCTTCTCTGTTCGTCGTCCCTTTTTCTTGAAGGTTCAAGAGAGGTTCAGTTCAGCAATCGATCAAGGTTCTTTGCCTACTTCAGGAAAAAGCAAAAGGAGTTGGGTTCTCTACCTCATCAGTGTCGATAGAAAGGAGATTTTATAAAGGTTTCTCCGCCTTGCTGTGTGAGTAAAAGAAGAGTCACTCAGTTTAGTGCAATACTCAGAGGGCACCTCCGGGGAGTAGACGTAAGTCGAGTTGACTGAACCACTGTGTTCTTTACTACTGTTGTTTCCACATTTAATTTCCGCACTTCGATTTTCATTGTGGTGATTTTTGGTTTGAGTTTATGTTTTGTTTAAGAAATTTTTAAAATACCAATTCAATCCCCCCCCCCTCTTGGTTAGCATCGGGTTAGTTCATAAGAGCTTAACATCCCTAACAAACTTTCAGTCAATAGAATCTACCAAAGATATTTGACCTTTTTAAAGTTATTTATTATTTGATGACTTGTATATATGATATGGATGTATTTTTAATTTCAGCTTCTAGTGAGAATAAATATACATTTGAATCTTGATGTTAGATTTATGTAACTACATTGTATATGAAGTTAAGAATTTGTCCCTTAATTAGAGGAAATTATATTATTTATGCATCTTGGAATCATGTTTTGATATATTGCATAATATACTTTTTGGAGGCTTTTTAGCTTGCTAAGATCGTCATATGAGTGATGATTTTATCAATGACTTGCTTTTATGAAACCTTTATAGAGTGAATGTTATTTACTAAGAGCACTGCTCAATGATATTGACCTCTATGAAAGAGGTTGAGAGAATCTAGTAAAAAATATAAGACCTATCCGAGATTTTATGTCAAAGCACTGCTCGATGATGATAACCTATGAAAAAGAGGTCGAGAGAATTCACCAAGAATATAAGACCTATTTACGATTGTATGTCAGAGCACTGCTCGATGACGTTAACCTATATTGAAGAGGTCGAGAGAATCCACCAAGGATGTAAGACCTATCCGAGGTATATGTTAGAGCACTGCTCGATGACATTAACTTGTGTGGAAGAGGTCGAGAGAATCCACCAATGATGTAATACCTATCTAAGGTTGTATATCAGAGTTTTGCTCAATAATGTTAACCTATATGGAAGAGGTCGAAAGAATCCACCAATGATGTATAACCTATCCGAGGTTGCATATCAAAGCCCTGCTCAATGAAGTTAATCAGTGTGGAAGAGATCGAAAGAATCCAGCAATGATGTATAACCTATCCGAGATTTTATGTCAAAGTCTTGCTCGATGATGTTAACCTGTGTGGAAGAGGTTGAGAGAATCTAGCAAAAAAATATTAAACATATCTGAGGTTGTATGCCAGAGTACTGCTCAATGATGATAACATGTATGGAAAGGTCGAGAGAATCCACCAAGCATATAAGACCTATCCAATATTGTATGTCAAATCACTACTCGATGATATTAACCTATGTGGAAGAGGTCAAGAGAATCCACTAAGGTTGTAAGACCTATCAGAGGTTGTATGTCAGAGTATTGCTCGATAATATTAACCTATGTGAAATAGGTCAAGAGAATCCACTAAGGATGTATGACCTATCTGAGGTTGTATGTCAGAGCCCTGCTCGATGACATTAACCTATGTAAAAGAGGTCGAATCGAATCCCCCTGGGATTGATTTTGCTTTGATTGGGAGGGGACAAACGCCGGGAGTATCCCGAATTAAAGGTGAAGAATGATCTATTTTTAGAACGTTACTACCTTTTTGAGGTTGAGATTAAGATCTTGCCTAAGGAGTAGAAGTCCAAATATAGACTGTATAAAGCTTGTAATTGATTGGAAGTATTTTGTTATCACTGGGATTTTCCTGAAATTTCATCTAAATGTTGGAGGATCGTTTTGACTACGGTTAGAGTCAAATTTTTTCCCCAGTCTGCATCTGATTCTTATGAAATTGATACATCAATGACTAATAATAAGATGTTAATATGAGTGATCTTTTAAGATTTGAGCAATAATTACCCCCTAGTCTGGAATCACTTTCCCACATATGGCGCCAAACTGTTACGTCTTGGAGTCTTCGCAGCATTAGAAAAATATAAAATTTAACGTCTTATCATTGTACAAAAATCTGGCACGTAATCTGATAAAAAAGAGGGTGCATTATTCACTAGAGACACCAAGATTTTTATATGGAAAACCCTTAAAAAAAGGGAAAAATTCATGGGGTCTAGCCTAGTTTGAATGAATCCACTAGTATTGCAGTTGATTACAAATGAGGCCCTTTCTTGGGGGAAGGCCTTAACTTGATGTACATCTTTAGAGTACATTACATGATATGAATACAAAGAATCAATGTTTATGTGTTTATTTGGGTGGAAGGACTGTAGTCGGTGGGTGACGTAAGTCGGAAGGACCATAGTCGGCGGGAGACGGAGGTCGGAAGGGCTGTAATCAATGGGTGATGTAAGTCAGAAGGACCGTAGTCGGCGGGTGATGGAGGTCGGAAGGACTGTAGTCGGTGGGCTACGTAAGTCAAAAGTACCATAGTCGGCGGGCGATGGAGGTCTGAAGGACTATAGTCGATGGGCGACATAAGTCAGAAGGAACGTAGTTGGCGGGCGATGGAGGTTGGAAGGATCATTGTCGGTGAGCAACGTAAGTTAGAAGGATCATAGTCGGCGGGCGACAGAGGTCGGAAGGATCGTTATCGATAGGCGACGTAAGTCAGAAGGACTGTAGTCAGCGGGCGACGGAGAACGGAAGGACTATTGTCGGTGGGCGACGTAAGTCAGAAGGATCGAAGTCGGTGGGTGACGGAGGTCATAAAGACCGTTATCTAGTGATGAATGTTGGAAGAACTGCGTCAAATAGAATTCCAGCAATGGACAGAAGTCCATCATCAGATATATGTCCGGCAAAAGTCTGACAACGGGTAGAAGTCCGGCATTGGGTAGAAATCTTGTGACGAGTGGAGGTCCGGTGTCGGGTAGAAGTCCGATGTCAGTTTGCTTCAAGGAGAACTCTGTGTTATATTGTGTTCAGACAAAACTCCAGAGTTGCTTGGAAATTGGACATAATTTCAGCGTCACTAGAAAGTTAGGTGGAATTCTGACATTATTTGGAAGTCGGGCGAAATTTCGGCAACATTTGGAAGTCGAATGGAACTCCGACGTCACTTGAACGTCGGACGGAACTCTGGCGGTGGTCGAGGAGGAGTTTCCTCCCTCTTTCCCTTCTTCTCTTCTTTTCTTTTTCTTGCTTGGGTCCCCTTTCAAGAGAAATGAGGGATCTATTTATAGATTTCTAGAGTGACATGGCCTGTAAATAGGTGAGAGATCAGGGGTAAATGAGGAGTGGTTGGATGGACGGCCGATATTTAATCCCTTGATCGTGTACCGTTCGTCGGACATTTAAAGGTCTTAATGATGTTAGAATTCAGCGATCTTGGGCTCATTGGATTCATCTCGTCGAGCCGCTCTATTCGACTATAAGCACGTCAAGTTTGGGAACCATTTGGTAATCCAAATTGTGGTTTGAACCTTCCAACAGTGCTTCGTGTCTTCGATTTGGGCTCATTTGGGCTCAGGTCGAGTTGAATTTGGTGTCGTTGACGCTCAGTTTTACTATAAGTTTGCTGAAATCGGAGTTCAGGTGATCCCGGATTTAATTTTTGTGATCCCGGATTTAATTTTTGAAATTTTCAACTTGATTTTTCCTCGAGATTCATGCCCGATCAAGAATAATTTTTTATGATATATCACTGATATAACATAATATTCTAATACACTGTCTTATAAAAAAAATAAAACTTAGCATTTAATGCATTGCTATGAAAAAAAAATATTATGTTAAGATATTCTCTTAAAAATATTCAGAATTAACTTTAAATTAATATATATATAATTTCTCCTCTTTTAGAGAATAAAATCCCCATTCTTGAGAGAAATCAAACAGCCATATTTGAAATTATTTTGATCAATATAGTCAAATATATACAATAGTCTGTTTGAAAAAAGGTCCAATCTAAAAATTATAAAACTTAATTAAAATAAATAAAATACAAATTACATATATCTCAAATTAATTTAATAATTTTAATATTCATTTTGATCAATTATTTTGACTAATTATGTAATTTATATAGATAACACTATATTATCAGATCTCAAATTTTTTCATGAAAAAAAGTAGATGATTGCATTAGCCAATCAAAAATCAACATGTCATATGAATTATAAATATATTCTATTTTTCCCAAATATAAAACTACCAATTATGAATAGTTTTCACAATAAAAATTTAGTAAGTAACAAAAAAATAATGGTCAATTGAAGGGATTGCAATCTTAAAAGCAAAAGAGGAAGAAAATTATAATCTTGAAAGAAACCATATGAATGATCAGATCTACAACATAAAACTATAACAAAAGAAGATGCAGAACCAAAATATGAATATCATTCACTAGTCAAATGCATGGTTAGGCTCTCAAGGAAGAAATTAAGCTATAAAAAGCAGCGATTTTTACACCCAAGAGGCAACAAAAACTACCCAGGCTGTATCGACTTGGACACTAGGATTGATTAACGGTCAGTAACTTCAAAGAGCTTGAAGAGGACGTATGGCAATTCAACTTCGGCTTCGTTTGGGACAGCTTTCTTCCTGCTTCGTAAAGTAGTTTTTTAGTACAAAAATCACTTTAAAAAGCAGGAAGAAAGCTGTCCCAAACGAAGTCTTCAATTCACAGGCCCTTCCAAGTCATTCAGTTGCAATAAGCAGAATGCTAGTCATGGCGGGGAAGAAACCTCACTCTCAGCATTCTCAGAACAAAAAGGAGTTGAAACCAGTAGCATATCATAGGCAATCAGCTGCTCCAGTTACAGGAATGGAAGGCTTGTTGAACACATTATGTGGCTTCTTACAGTTGCGAATGCCTTCGAGTACAGCCTTTCCTGCTGTAGGCTCTAACAGATGCACCAAAGAAAGAAAAACGTCCATTCTTGTCACATCCCTGTTTGCCTGTGCCATGGGGAATTCGAACACCAAATATGAAATTTCCAGTAGAAAATAAATATAGAGGGATTTACATGCGCACAAAAAAATTACCAAGTATTAACATGTCTAACATCTAAATCTTTATATGTACTTATATAACATCTTATATGTATAAATTGCATTTTACACTAAGTTAATGTAAATGATGCCTTCTATGTGATTTAGGGCATCTCCAACCGATAACTTTATTTTTCACGGCAAAGTAACGCAAAACTCCAAAATGGCGTGGTGATGCTCCAATCGAACGTCATTTTAGGTGTTTCTAGGAAGGTAACGATCGCTCTCCCTTTCGCGCATTTTTTCAGTTGAGAGCAGAAAATGGCGTGAGTGAATAGTGCGACGCCAATATTGGCGTCGCACTGTTCACCTGCAATGAAATGGCGGAAATTTTCGCGTTCGGTTGGAGCGACGGGACGACTCCATACACTCGTTTAACGTTCGGTTGGAGATGACCTTAGAAATGTGTGCTAAATAAATAAATTTAAGGAGAATTTTCATATATATATCAACAAATTTTTAAATATTTAAATATCTAAGATTTAAATCTTTATATTTAATTACATATTAGCTGTATTTCTGATCATATCAGAAATTATCAATAATGTCAACTTATTTAAACTAAAATGCACATTTTTTATATCTAAATGCTTTGAAGTTATTTAAACACTAAGGCTTCATTTGGGACAACTTTCTTACTGTTTTTTAAAGCAGCTTTTTAGTATAAGAATTTTAATTTTTTTATTAAAAAACCGCTTGAAGAAGCAGTAAGAAAGTCGTCCCAAACGAAGCCTAAATTGACATATAAGTAAATATAAGATTTAGTTGCTAAATATTTAAATATATAAGAATTTTATGGTGTGTACGTAAATCCCCTGAATTTAAAGATTTATAAGTTAAAATGTAAATACATAAAAAATTTTATGGAATCTATGTAAACACCCTTATAAAGAAATATTGAATGTTATATAAATTTATGTCAGATAAATACCTCGACTGCAAACCGAGCCCACACTTTATCATCACGAGCTTCCATGACTCCTTTCAAGATAGTCAATCCTAAACCTCTAATCAAATCAGCTATCTCCAGAAAGAGACCCCTTTTCTCACAGAGCATCTGCAGAAAATTACTTGTGTTTTAAAAGCTAGTTCTAGTGATGTATAATGTAAATTAAGGATGGAAAATATAAAATATCACCTCGACAAGCATGTGTCGAGGAGTGCTGAGATCTTCGACTACAATCGGGCAGATGACAGATTGGCTGCCAACCTCAAATGCCCATGTTGCGCCGCCGTCGAAGTTGTCTTTGAGAAGCAAGCCCTCATCCTCACTGATGATCTGGCCTTGTCAATTACAAAAAACTTAGGGCATATAATGTGCATATAAATGCATTCGTGTAATGCTGAATAACAAACAATGGCTAGGAAATCAACCAGTAAAGAAAAGGTCGGACAGAGTCAAAAGGGCCATGAGACATAAATTACATTTGTAATGCATACATACATACATATATAGATAATATATATATATATATATATATATATATATATATATATTATCTATGTATGTATGTATGTATGCATTACAAATGTAATTTATGTCTCATGGCCCTTTTGACTCTGTCCGACCTTTTCTTTACTGGTTGATTTCCTAGCCATTGTTTGTTATTCAGCATTACACGAATGCATTTATATGCACATTATATGCCCTAAGTTTTTTGTAATTGACAAGGCCAGATCATCAGTGAGGATGAGGGCTTGCTTCTCAAAGACAACTTCGACGGCGGCGCAACATGGGCATTTGAGGTTGGCAGCCAATCTGTCATCTGCCCGATTGTAGTCGAAGATCTCAGCACTCCTCGACACATGCTTGTCGAGGTGATATTTTATATTTTCCATCCTTAATTTACATTATACATCACTAGAACTAGCTTTTAAAACACAAGTAATTTTCTGCAGATGCTCTGTGAGAAAAGGGGTCTCTTTCTGGAGATAGCTGATTTGATTAGAGGTTTAGGATTGACTATCTTGAAAGGAGTCATGGAAGCTCGTGATGATAAAGTGTGGGCTCGGTTTGCAGTCGAGGTATTTATCTGACATAAATTTATATAACATTCAATATTTCTTTATAAGGGTGTTTACATAGATTCCATAAAATTTTTTATGTATTTACATTTTAACTTATAAATCTTTAAATTCAGGGGATTTACGTACACACCATAAAATTCTTATATATTTAAATATTTAGCAACTAAATCTTATATTTACTTATATGTCAATTTAGGCTTCGTTTGGGACGACTTTCTTACTGCTTCTTCAAGCGGTTTTTTAATAAAAAAATTAAAATTCTTATACTAAAAAGCTGCTTTAAAAAACAGTAAGAAAGTTGTCCCAAATGAAGCCTTAGTGTTTAAATAACTTCAAAGCATTTAGATATAAAAAATGTGCATTTTAGTTTAAATAAGTTGACATTATTGATAATTTCTGATATGATCAGAAATAAAATTACTAAGTTAATTTATTAATTTTACTATAATAAAATGTACAAATTTAATTTATTAATTTTACTAAAATATAATTTACTAATTTAATTTGTTAATTTTAATAAAAAAATAATTTACTAATTTAATTTATTACTTTTACTAAAAATATAATTTACTAATTTAATAGATTAATCTAATTTGTAAATTATACTAAAATATAATTTACTAATTTAATTTATTAATAGGCAAGTTGTTTCTTTTTAAACGACTTCTTAATGACAATAGTTAAGAAAGGTGATGGCTTGTGCAAACTTCCACAATCGACCCATCCCTCTCATCGCGACCAAACCCATCCATCTGAGCCCAAGACCTGACCCGCCACACGTGCCCCTGAACACAAACTCCCGATCAGCTAGACCATCTGCCATATGGATTTGCCCCGTCAGAGTCAGTCGTTGGGATACCATACCAAACAACTAGCATTATTTCAAAAAAAAAAATTTTCATCAAAATAATTAGCAACATATATCATTTTAAAAATTTGTCCATCATCAAATGGTTTATCCCTATCAGTTATGTTTCAATTGTCCATGGGGTGTCAGCTAGGTTGAATCAAAAAAGTCTGCTTCAAAAAAATCATTACCATATTTTATTTGAGATAACTTTCTTGTTAGAAGCAAATTCAATCCCAATAAAGTATTTAGGTCTCCCTAGATCTTTGGTTGCAAACCAATTCCATTAATGTTTTACTATAGATGATAAGGACATCAGCAGGAGATTCTGGCGCGACGATTTATCCGAGGAGATATCGTAGATCGACAACTACAATTAGGAGTCTTCATTTATGAAGCATTTATATATTTTATTTTTATTTGTCCTGGTTTTTACCTTTGAACTCCTGAGAGAGTTTAGTTCATGTTTTAGCCCAAAGGGCAATTTTGTCTGTGTTGTTTGTTCCTTGAGGCCTATATATGAAGGCCCTAGCTTTTGTATGAGGGATGATAATTTTTTAATGAAATTTCAGCACTTGTTATTTCTCTTTGTTGTGCGTTCTTGAGAGTGGAGAAAACCCTAAGAGAGGGCCAAGCAATTCCCGTCAGCCGTCGGTAGAGTTCGGGCTCGTGATTTGTATCCATTTTTATTCCCCTCTCCCTTTCCTTCAACCCCATACTGCCGGCCACCCACACCCTTCCCCTAAATTCCGGCCACACCTCTCCCCTTCACCCATACTCGTCGTCCTCCCTCCCTCTCCACCTTAGGACACCGGTCCACCTCCCCTCTCCACCCAACCCTACGGCTCCTAGCCTCTCCACCCTCCCATTCCCCCACCGAACCCAAGTCCAACCCCTCCCCTAGCTGTCGACCTACTTAGCCCAAGTTCAAGCCGCCGGACCCTCCTCCACAAGCCCTTGTTTTCAAATTCAAATTGCCTCTTAAACACCTTTCTAATTTATCCTATTATTAATTTGAAAAGTCTCCTAATTTGAATTCAAATAGATTTGAAATTCAAATTCTTTCCTAATTAATAAATCTATTTTAGGAAGCTCCCCAAATTGTTCCCAGTCGGAAATTAATTTGGACTTAATTCCAAATCACACATTCATTGCATGGAGACACATTCGTTGAATGTGGACACCCTTCCTCTCCCTCCTTTGCCCCCCCCCCCCCTTCTTCCCCCCCCCCCCCTCCAATTCCCTCTCTCTTAATTAATTCTCCCCATTAATGCCCTCAATCAACGCCCTCCTTTCAAGGTGTGCCGCCCCACTTATTCCCCCCTTAGAGGAGATTCGAATTTCAGAATTATTCCCTCCTTTCCAATTATAAAATTTGGAATTAAATTTAAGATTTTAAATTAATTTCCCCTCCACCCCACCTAAACCAAAAAACTGAAATTAAAGTGGCATCTCCCTCTAGCCTTGGCCGACCACCCCAACCTCTCCCTCCTCCTCTCCTTCTCTTCTCCCATACTTCATACACCATCCAAGGAAGGAGCTACACAACCCTGGCCTACTCCCCATGAATGGCTGATCCTGAAAGAGACCATGGATTTGTATACGATCATTAAGGACGAGTAGATATGTTGAGATCACCCTTCTTCGACCTCAATTTGGAGATCGACCACACCGTTGACGAATACGTCGACCGGATCCTCTTCACTTTGACGACAATCATCGACGAGCATCAAACCTCCTGACAGTAGCAAATTCTTAAACATCCACCGACTTCTTCCCCTCCGGCTAAGTTTTCATTGGGCAATACTGCAGGCATCTTCTGTCTTTTAGTGGCATCATTAAGTTGAATGAAATTATTATTCTGCTAAAACAACCCTCGAGAGTGAGAGTGAGGGAAACTGAAGGTGAGCTTTCTATTTGTTAACCGGTAAATTTATGTTACCTCTCCATCTAACTTTACTATAATTTTGTTATTATTTTAAAGTGCCTTCTAACCAAGTTTGTAACTGCATGCCAACGGAAACAACAACTAAGAAATCCTATAATCTAATTTTGTGAAACATTAATTTTAAAATTAGCAAGCTTAACAATTTTTATTAAATTCCTATAATTCCTTTTATGTTTCACATCAATAGATATACCTTATTAATTATTACCAAATAATATATCATCTACATAAATAGCTAGAACAACTAAACCAGTTGTTGCATGTTTGATAAAGATAGAATTATTGAAAAAGTACTTCAAAAGTCAACTTTTGCAAGAACTTAATGGAATTCAAACCAAGATTATAGATACTTCTTGAACCCACAAATGGCCTTCCAAAGTAAGCATTACATTTCTTCACTTGAGGAATATATCCAGGAGATTGCTCCAAAAAGGAAATCTTATTCAAATCACCAGAAGGCATTACGAACCCAACCAACCTTAATTAATAGTTACAAAGAAGAAAATTCTGACAAAGTTGATTTTGTCGAATCGAGAGAAAGTATCGAAGTAAATTATCCTATAAACTTGACAAAAAAACTTTGGCAATTGGCCAAGCTTTCTACCAATCAATTAAGCCTTCAAGACAAAACTTTAGAGTGAATGGTTTGACCCCTAGAGGTAAAGCCAACCAATTCCCATATTTGTTATTATGCAAAGCATCCATCTCACCATCCATAGCTCGTATTCATAAGAGATGCGGAAATGGTCTTAGAAATGGATACAGAGATAGAGACAAAGACATAACAAAATGGCAATAGAATAGGGATAAATGGTCAAAAGCGATAGAAAAGGGTATACTCATAAAAAGTGATGTCAATTGAGGTGTGTAATATTTGGCAAATGGATCATAACATATATTAAGTTTGAGAGCACCACAAGAATATATAAGAGGCACAGGAAAAGAGTTGATTGAAATTTTGGGATTATAACATCTATATCTAAAACATTAAGTGAAATAGTATTTGTATTTAAATTGAATTTTAATTATTTCTAAAATTTGCAAAAAACATGAAGATTTTTTTTTTTTAACATCAAGATCTAAACCATCAAAGTATGAGAAAGGCACGATTAAGGGTATCAAAGTCAATCAAGGCATTGAATGATGTCATCAATAAAGTGCATCAACTAAGGCTGTTGGTGCTCTGGATATACTTGAAGACCAAATACATAATAATTTTTTTGGGTGGAGCCATTTATAGTGAGGTGGTCATAATTAAGGAGGTTGGACGTAATATGGTAAATTTCTTATCTTCAGATAGATAAACGAGCAACTTGATAATTTAAAGCATGTTTATCACCAACAAGGTAAATGAGTCATGCTCAATGGCATTGTTTGTGGATAGATTAAAAACATCATTGTTATTGACTGAGAGTTTGTAGAAGAAAAGGCGCACAACTATGCAACCGAAAGCATA